TCTTATCCAGTAGATGCACTGTAGGATATACCCATAAGCCCCTATAAACTCAGCTTCCATCTCATTTTCCATGCTCTTTGCCATTTGATTTGCCATTCTTGGGGTAATATCTAACTAAACCCCAAATAGCAGCTTCCATTGTCTTTCCCTACACCATAAACTTGAAAACCCAAAGCCCTAGACCCTAAACCCAAACCCTAAACCCTTATCCCTACACTCTGAACCCTTATCTTTAAACCCAAACCCTCAAGCCTTATCCCTACACCCTAAACCCTACACCCTAAACCCAAACCCTAACAGTTATCCCTATACTCTACTCTCATCCCTATACCCTAAACCCGAGAAACCTACCCAGACCCCTGGGAGGATCTGAAAATTAGATCCCCTATATAAACCCATTATAACCCCTATATAATAATCCTAATATAGTTTCCCATATGGTTCTAGGGATCTAAACCGAAACCCTTTTTAGATCCCTTTGGGGGTCTCGGTAAGAAAGCTGTGGCCGAGGGGCTGGGATGGCTTGCTTTTTGATGGTCGAGGCATCTGCCCCCGAAGGGGTCAACAGCTCCTAGCACTGGGTGCTGTTTTTCAGCAAGTTGATTATATAGAGGATTATATAGGGTTTAGGAATTAGGGGTTATAAGGGTTTAGGGATTAAGGATTATAAGGGTTTAGGGTTTAGGGATTAGGGATTAGGGTTTAGGGTTCTGGGTGTTGGGTTCTCGATTTAGGGTTTAGGGATCTGGGTCGTCTGTATAGGGGTAAGCAGGGAATGGAAGCAAAATGGAAGCTGCTGCGGGGTCTAGGGTTTGGGGCCCAGGGTTAAACCCTAAACCCTAAACGAAGGCATGGGGTTGGCGTGTAAGTCCAGGGGTAGTCATACTAGAGAATAGCGTGGACTCAGCTGGCAAATGACATAGAAACTGGGATTATGTGAGCCATAGTTTAAACTAACCGTAAATAACCCCCTTTAAGGAGTTTAGACTACTGATCATGTAGGGTTTATATAGAAGTTCTGGGATGTTGGGAAGGGCTAGGGTTTAGATCGATGGATAATGTAAAATGGGGTTTAGGGTGTGGAGTTTAGGGATAGAACAGCTGCGAGAAGATAGGCTAAACCTACAGGCATCGTAATCTAAACCCACTTATACCTACCCTGAGTCTTCAAGTGCCAACAAAACCAACAGGAGAATCTACAGTATATACTTAAGCCTCTCCTGTACTTGGACATCTAGAGAAACTATACCCCAGTTATACTTGGATCTACAGCCCAGTTACAGCCAAAATTACCGGGGCTCAGGCTTCTTTCTGGCGATGTAATGAGCTTGCACAACACATGGGGCCCTGATGGACCCAAGGGCTTCACAAGGATTCTGAGGGGATGGTAGGGTCCCCCTCTGGAATGATGTAGGAACTAGCCACAACTAGTTTGAGAAACACTCTAAACATGTCTAAACCCTAAACCCTAAATCAAGAGGGAAGGGAAGAGCGGATCCCTTTGTAGCAGTACCTATATAATCCACACGGCTACAATAGTTTCCGTGCCCTTCCTTTATCCACAAGGAACAACCAGTAAGATGAGCTTACCTGCATAAACCCTCCCTGGCCCCTAAACCCTAGCCCCCAAACCCTGATCCCAAAATCCCAAACCCTAAATCCCAAACCCTAAACCCTAAAACCTAAATCCCAAATCCCAAGCCCTAAACCCTGGACCCTAAACGCCAAATCTAGTCCCCGAACCCTAATCCGTAAGCTTTTCAACTAAAAGACCCAGGACTCCTCCGTCAGCATGCTGCTACCCGTCATTGCGAGGGAGGCGTATTTGCCAAGGTCGTCTAGTCGTCAAAACAGGGTACCCTCAGGAATTACACAGAAGGTGGTCAAAATCATGGTTCCTTATCAGGAGTGCTTGATAATGGGCACCCAGAGAGGACCCCATTTTTAACAACCTGCCATCTGCGGACTATAGCTGTCCGTCAGTCGGATTATCTAGGCCTTACTTCGAAAGGTGCTGTATTACAACTTGAGTAGAGTGGCTAGTGCTGGTCTGTATCTTTTGCAGCAGGGCTCATCGTTTTCTGAGCTATGAACTTACCCAATCTTCTGAAGGATTGGCATGGCGTGCTCTGGATTGAGCAGGAATGTCTTTTCTGGTGCTCATGGAAGCATTAAACCCAGAACCGTGACCCCAAACCCTAAACCCTGAAT